ACTATGTTGATCATTAGCTAATAGTTTGAATAGAAATTAGTTTTTATTGTAAACAAGGTAAGGATAATTTTGTTTTCTGGACGAATAACTTTTTTTTTTTTGGCTTTTTAATTATAATATTTTTTTTTTTGTTACATATAGAGTAATTTTTTTTTCTTACAGATTTTGAATATTTAATCAGCGACAGGTTGATTGGTTTGCATTGTTATTTTACCTTTTTTACTTTTTTCATGTCATAAATTTAATTTTGTTTCATTTTAGACATCTTATAATGCTTTTTTGGCGTTTTGAAAAAAATATATATATCTCACAAGGTGTGGGTTCAAATTTAGGCAAAAACATCCCTTACCTTTTTATATATATACATATGTTAAGGAAGAGAGTGAGTAGTAGATAAAAAAATGCTGCGTCTATAATTATTTATGTAGTTGGTTATTCTACCAAATAATCCAAATATTGACTAATCTACCAATCCCTTTATTGATAATGGAAATTTAGTTGATTTTTTTTTTGTAAACATAATTTTTTATATATATATATTGTTTTGGTTATTATATATAAATAAATTGATTTCCAAATAATACATTAATACAATACAGATTATTTTTTCTTCTTTTAAAACATTCAAAAGTGATTAAAGTGCTTCGCGTGGGTTTAAATCCTTTTGTTTACACTTAATTTTTAAAATCTTTTCCAATTTTTAGAGTACAAAATACAACATTTTTTATGGCTCATAGATATTATATGCATAAAATATATCAAGATATTATTTACTATAATAAACAAAAGGAAGATAATTTTTTAAAAAGCTTTTTAAAATTGCTAAAAACGTGAATACACCTTTAAAAATTTGTTGGGCATATATCACGATACTTAAGTTGTTTATGTGCTTAGTAACCAGTAAAGTCTGCGCATTACACGATCGTTCAATATTGATCCCCGGCGGACATTTATAGTGCGCATGCGTTTACATGGACTTTAGTAAAATCTAGAATTTCCATATTTTTTGCAGGCGACGAGAATAGGATCACATTTTAAAACTATTATATTTTATACTTATTAATGTTGTTTTATATCATTCAAAGATTTTATAAACATTTAAAGGACCAAAGATTATATTTAAATAAAAGAAATCCTGCTTCAATCGGTTTTTGGCAATCTTTGACTGGCTTTAAAAATTTATATTAAAAAAAAAAAAAATGTTTTTCAAAATTGTGTAACTTTTTTAAATCAATTTTTTGTTTCAAGAACTAAATTGTTTATTAAACTAAAATTTAAATATTTTCAGAAATAACTAAATTTATTTACCAGCCATTTTTTTAAGTTTTAGAAATTTTAAAATAAAAAAATTCACCGAACTATCTAGTATGGCGACTGCTACTTCTGCTAACCACATTTTGTGTCTTAGCAAACTATGCAGACTATGTGGAAATTATATTGGAACTGACTCATTTAATGTAATAAATATAATAGCAAGAGTTGACCAAGCATTTTTTACCGAGGTAGGAGAAGACAGAACGGAGATCCACCCACCAAAAATTTGCATGAAATGTTATACATTAATGAGACATATTGAACAGCGAGGAACGACCTCTTTTAATTTCATTTTAACTAGCTGGCCGCATACGTGCTCACTTGAAAGCTGTATATGTTTTTTAAAGAAATCTGGCAGAAAGAAAAAGAAACCATTTGGAAGACCACCATCAGTTAATAAAGATGTTTGGACAAGGAAATCAATTAATGAAATATTAGACAGTTTTTCTGAAATGCCTCGCTTATGCTATGAGTCTATCAGTATAGTTAATAACCCCCACAAAGATTTATGCATCTGCAAGATTTGTAAAAGAATATTTCATCGACCTGTTTTACTTAATAACTGCCAACATTTATTTTGTGCTTCATGTATTTTTCCAAATTTAGTTGGAAAATTAGAGACAGAAGCAAAATGCAAGTTATGTGGCTCTAATATATCTTTAGGTAGCATTTCAAAAGCAACAACTATGCAAAATATCCATGAAAATATAGTTTTAAAGTGTTCCGAAAATTCATGCAAAAGTATAAGCAATAAGGAAGAACATGAACAAGTATGGAAAAGTGGAAACATATTACCCCAATGTTCAGCATCGTCTTCCTCTTCATTGACAGTAACAGATATTTACAAAATTAATACAAATAGTGATATTCTTAAAGAACTAGAATATGCATTTGCTCACTTTGCAAAGCTAAAAATGGCAAAAAACAATTCATATTCATTTGAACTTCCTTCTGGCGGTCCAAGCCCTACCGGCGCATCTAGTTTTTTTTTCGGAAATAAAACCTATATAGGCACGTGTTTTTCACGATCCAGGCGTAAACCAAAAGCACGTGTATATTACGGGTAGTTTTACTAGAGTTTAACACGTGTTTTTTGAGGTTTTAAAGTCAAATTTAAATGTCGCATGTTTTTATCATTGGTTTCACATTCCTTACGGAAAGTCATTACAATATGATACTACGTTTCCATAACTGTGAAACCATTAACACTTTATGGTAAATTGTAATATTTAATTTCACGGAATAAAAACCATTTTTGATACGTGTTATTCTTTTTATTTTAGAAGGTTTTAAAAACGCAACAGAAACCAAGCGTAACTATTTTCTGAGTTGTGCCGGCTGGGAGGGTCAGAAATTAAATTTTTTCAACAAAAATATTATTAGTTAAATTTATTATAAATAATGTATTTGCATAAAGAGTAATTTTTTTCACTAATTAGGCTACACAGTTTTCAGTGACTACAAAGAGCTTTAAAACATCAACTGAGATTAGTCAGAAAACCATTTATGGACGTCAAAAGCAACTCCACCAATCGCTAATAGATAATGCAGGACCAACAAAAAAGGCAAAAATACAACAAGTAGCACTTATGCTCAATTCTTTTAATAAAAACAATAAAATTGATATTCTAAAAAAATCAAATCTCTCCCAAGTTGAGATAGGACCAGAAGATATTGTATCACTTAAAGCAGACTGTGGTTTACCTTGGGAAAAGATGAAAAAAATGATAAGGTATATAACATTATTTTAATAAAAATAAATTATGCATAAAACAATAATCAAGTTATTTCAAATTACAAATTGCATTAATATTTATCAGCATTTTGTTGTCTTTATTTTTTTTTTTTTCATTTAATTTTTCAAATTAAAAAAACTTTTATATTTCAGATTTTTCCAGACAAAAAAAATGTCAAATTACCCTCACTTTCTAATCAACGAAAAGTTGCAAAATATTGGTCAGGTAACGATTTGATTGTTGAAGATAAAGAACTGCTGTTTGAATTAAAAAAAAAAAAAGGAACTTTTGAATTGAAAGATACACCTACAGCATATATTAATGATTTGCCATCACATTTAATCAAGGTTCAGTTAGAAATCAGTTAGATTGGATCAGTAAGAAAGGATCAGTTAGAAAGGTAAGTTCAAAATATAAGAGACTAATGTAATGTTTATTAATTCTTGTTAAATATGCAAGAAAATTGAAAATTGAATGTTTTAAACAAAACTTAAGAAGTGTAAATCATAAATTGTGCAAATATTATATCTCTGCATAAATTGTATATATTTTTTTGTTATAAATATATTTTCTTTCTTTATTATCATAGATATAACCAACTAACATTTGAAAAGGTAACTCCTAGTGAAATACATATAAAGATTGGTGGTGACCACGGAGGTGGTTCATTTAAAATGAGCTATCAGGTAGCTAATGTTGCTACACCCAATTCAAAAAATAATACGACTGTTTTCAATATATTTGAGGCCAAAGATTATAGAGCAAACCTCAAAATTTCACTCTCAAGACACATAGATGAAATTAGACAGCTTCAAGCAATGAAATGGAGGTGAATAAAAAAATATTTCAAAAGTTTATTTGGATAAGAAATGTTTGTAAAATAAAAAACATAGATATTTTAATAAACTTTTATTTGATTTTAATACATTCTCATTTTAGGGAAAAATGTTTGCGTGTATTTATATTTGGTGATTATGTATTTTTGTGTGCTATTTATGGCATCACAGGAGCAACTGGTTAGCTTATAGTTTTGTATTTCTTTTAGCTTATATTCTTATTTTAATTACTAAAAATGTACACAAAGAGCATTAAAAGTAATATTATGAATATTTAATTTAACAGGTCGTCATTGCTGCTTATTCTGTGAAATCTTTAAAATCAGATTATGAACGATTCAAAAATGATGGAGGCAATATCAAACGTGCAAAGAATTTCAATAATGTAATTGATGAGCCGTTATTTGATATACCAATTGAACAGGTGTGAGTTAACTGTTGCCAAAGCATTAATGCCAGTAATATAAATATAAATGCAGGTCTGTGGTAAGGCTACCCCAAACCAGGGGCAGCAAATTGTAGAGGCCCCTTTCCAAAATTTAAGTAGCTTAATTTATGTAGTATTAAATTTGATTTATTATTTTTTTAGAAATACATTAAATAATTGAATGTTTTGAAGATTTTATTGTTAATAAGATTAAGATTGAGGCTGTGTTTTTTTAGGGGGGGGGGGTCCTCTATATAATAGTATATACTTATATATAGGCACTATATATAAGTATATATATATATATATATATATATATATATATATATATATATATATATATATATATATATATATATATATATATATATATATATATACACATATATACATATATATATATATATATATATATATATATATATATATATATATATATATATATATATATATATATATATATATATATATATACATATATATATATGTATATATATATACTTATATATATAGCTATTATGCAATTGTTAAAATCATTTTATAGATAGCAATACCAGCTCTACACATCTCATTGGGAATATTTCTAAAAAATGTTAGAGGTAGAATGTCATCTCCTTGATATCAAACTAGCTGGATTTCTAGCAATAAATGATAAACACCTTGAATCAAGTGAATTTGACTAATATGTTGAGAAGCAGGCAGAGATACATCAATTAGAATATGACGTTGATGATATAAATACAAAAATTCTTCTTATTCAAGATACAATAGTCGTTGAAGTATTTCGCAGCCCTAAAAATACAGAGTACTTGCAGTTAATGTACTCTGAGAGAATTGCATTGTTAAAACCGAAGAGAATAGAAAAGGTATCAACATTAAATAGTACTGGAAATTATTTTGAGAGGATAGTTTTTTTTAAGGGCATTTTTTTTTTAATATTTCAATGGCTGTATTATCTGGATTTTGTATACATCTATATTTATATTCAATTTTGAAGAAAGGAAAAATTGCGGAATGCTCAAAATTTAAGTTAATAGAAGGAATGGGGCCAATATTAAAGGAAATTGAATCTGTTTTGCAGTCATGTGGAGTAAAACGTCAAGCTTATCACAGTTGCTCGTTCGTTGGAAATCATGTTCACAAAATGTTAAAGGTACATGTTTTTGTATACAAATCTATGTTTTTAGGCATTAAAACTTTGCCATCTCGGCTTTAAATAATTTAGTTATCATTCCAAATAATAGTTCTACTATAATACCTATATATAATAGTATATATATATGCGTATATATGTATTTTATTTTTCAGGTTGATAACATAAAAAAGTTATGTGACTCAATTTCTCAAACAGTTTTTAATAATATAGCAGATAGAGAACATCCAATTTATATGGAGGCGGTTGACATACAGCAAAAATTTAAAGCATTATTTCACAAATATTCAAAGTGCGACAATGAAATGAATTCATGTCACTTATTCAACGAAGAAAATATAAAGAGTTTCGGTAATTTTTCATGAAAATTTTTATTATAGAAGTAGTTTTTTATTTGCAGAAGTAGTCTTTTTTTAAGGAGTATTATAATCTTTAATAAATAGTGATGAAGATATTTTGCCATATATATAAAATATATAGTATTATTATTATTATTTTTTTTAATACTTGTTAATTTGTTTTGTAGAAACAGCTGTATGCGAACTAATGAAGTTTTTTAGAAGCACTTGGCCTAATGAGTCAATAACTCCAAAAATGCACTTGTTGGAAAATCATATTGGAGTTTTTTTGAGCACATGGGGAGTTGGCCTTGGGCTATATGGGGAGCAAGGTGGCGAGAGTATTCATGCCGAGTTTAATAATATTGGAAGAATATACTCAACCATGTCTGGTACGAGAAAACTAGAATGTATTATGAGATAATCATTTTATAAAAAATAACTTAATTGCGAGTTCGTTAAAACCGCCAATCGTCCCTCTAAGAAAAAAAATTATATAATAAAATTTATAGTTTATATATAATAAAGTACTTATGCAAATTATTATTATGCAATAATTATGTAATTATCAAATTTATTGTTTAATTTATTTATATATTTATTATGTTTATATAAGGTTCTTAAAGATTTCGAAATAGGTCGGCCCTATTATTTTACGATTAGTAGAAAATTAGCGAAATATTAGCCAACTTTCAAGCTTCAAATCTTTTTGTAAAAAAAATGGCTGGTAAAAATAATATGCTAAATAATATAGCTCAACCTTTATTCTTTCAAATGATATATAACACTTTTTTATAAAAATTGATCTTCGTAATTTATTAAAGAATAAGACAGATAGTATAATCTGCGATAAAATCTCGGTTAACTTGACAAGTGAATTTAAGGTTCATGTGTGGTTTTTTTTGTTGTGATTTTTTTTTTTTCTACTTACTAAACTTTTAGTTGATAAAAATAATTTTTATTAATGAGTTTTATTTTATTCGTATCGTGTATACCTTAGATTAAAAATACCTCCAAATGCTCCGCTTTCGAGGCAAGTGAAATAACAGCTTTAGCTGCGCATATTAATTTATAAGTAATGCGCCTGCGCACTATAAATGTCCATTGCGAAACGACCGTGATTAAAGTGATAACTTTATATCTTATTGGAAAATATTTTACATGCCCTGTTAATTTTAAAATTAATAGGGCAAAAGTCCTAACAACCTAATATTTAAAGAGAAAAAATACCGCTGTCCTGTTTTTTGTTTTTTTTTTTAATAAAAATTTGTTACAGTTATAAAGTTTTGAACATTTATGGTTATTTTAAAACAAAGATTTTTATATTTATCTCTTTATAAATTATTGGTATTCATTTTTGTTTTCATTTTTGTTTTCTGTTTTTCTACTTTACCAAATTTTTGTAACCTTTTTTTTTTTTTATTTCGCAAAAAATATCTAAAGTTTTGTTTTTTATTTGTTCTGTTTTGTTAATTATTTTTATTTTAGTTTGCTGTTGTTATTGAGTGTTTTCATATTTTTTGTCTTATTATTTAACTTGTTTTAGCTTTTTCGTTGTTATTATTATTTTATTTGTTTTCTTATCGATTTTCGGTTCATATTTGTTATTTTTATTTTATTATTATACCAATTGTTATAATTAATTGGTGTCACTTATTTTGATTATGAATGACACTCATGCCATCATATTATTTCTGTTATTATAGATAATATTATTATTTTTAATTATTAGTGTTATAGTTATTTGGTATCACTCCTTTGATCAGACTTCTGTTTGAGTGACACCTTCCTTTTCAAATAATTCTTTGTATTTATTCTTATAAGTTATATTTTATTACAACTATACTGTTTGTATTGTTATACATAATATTAATATTGTTATTGTTATTATATGATTATATGTAAATTTTGAAAATAAAAATAATTATCTTGTTGCTGTTGTTGTTGCTGTAACGAAATTTTTTAAATAACCACAAACATGTAAACTTAATTAAATTGTTTTAAAATGTTTTTAAATCTAAATTTATTTGTTTTATTTTAACTTTCTTTTAGTGTAAACCACGGTGATACTCACTAGAGGCAATTCTGTCGCGAATCCGTATTTTTGACTGGAGGCGGACGAAGTTATGGAAAATACGAAAAATAGCTAAAAAAGTTAGCGAACTAATCCATTATTTTAGTTACTTTACTAATTTTTAAACGTATTGTATTAATGTACAAAATGCCTATTACAGTGTTTATTAAATATTGTCAAACTTAAACAAAACATTTTGAAAAAAAAAAGAATAAAATACAATATTGCGACAAACAACAAACTTTAAAATAATGCAAAGGTAAAAAAGAAAAAACATCAAAATATACATCAAGAAAAAAGAAAAAATCATTAAATACATCAATAATGTTATAAAAAAGTGTATATATCAATTTTTCAATGTTATACAGATAACTTTAAAACCTTCAATACAGGTTGTTTATTAGACTTAAAGTAAAAAAAGCGAACAATAACTTTTAAGAAATATGTTTGATAATATTGTACCATGTTTCTTTAACATAATAAAGTTATAAATATCAGATATCATCAAAAAATTACACAATGACTTTCTGCACATTTTATTTTTCTCAATTTCAAAAATAATGAAACAAAAAAATATCCACATCATTTTTTCTGGTTGCATAACCTACTATATAAAACAAAACCATTTTTGAACTCATAGACAATGATGAGTCTAGTTCAGGTAATTAATTAATGATGTCATGAGATTCTTTACTAATATAATAGCCACATTTTTGACAAGAATGTTCGATGTCAATAGCATTATCTGTAACATTAACTTTAAATTTTGTAATTTGTTAAAAACGTAATCAAAATAGTTTTTTAGCAAACATTTACATATCTCCACGAATTCATAACATATTCCAAATTGAAGCACCTGTATCTCTAGTGAAAAATTTCATTCTATGAATTTGTTTACCACTCATTTTAAATGCCATATCTCCAAATTCATGTAAGTACTGCAAATTTAAGTCTAATTCTTCAGAAATAACTCTCTTACGAGAAAATAAAAATCAAATATCACCATTAAATATTTTCGCACTTACAATTTTCCAAAGTTCAGAAACTTTTTCAAAAAATAAAATGGTTTTATTTTCATTAATATTGTAAAATACTTTTAAACAATGCGATTTTTGTCTTTTAGTGGGTTTTAAATGTATAGCTACAAAATTTAGTTTCTCAAAATCAAAGATACATTTACTCCACTTTGCAGTTTTGGTCTTTCTCAAATTATGATTCCTGCGTTTTTTTCTGCAACCAAGTTATTCCTATTAATTTTTTTAGTAGATGAACATAATCAAAAAGTAGAAAACTTTCACATTTTGTTTACCATGGTTTTCTTTCAACTTCCTTAAATAATTTTAAAAAAGCTTCATCGACCAAAAGAATAAAACTTTTCTGATTCTCTTCTAAATTTGAACAATCTGATTATAGTTTCTACATCATAACTTTTTTTACCTACTTCTGATGCACTCATAAAACATCACTTATACAAAAGTTGTTACAGGACAAACAAATTTAAAATTTTTTTTATTTTTACATAAAAAATAAATGTAAATAAATCATTTTTCAAATGTTGCGATTACTCATCACACTTTTCAGTTCTGGTAGAAATTAGCACTTTAGTAGTGGACCTTGGTTTTAAAGTTTGAGTTGATACCACACTAGGCAGAATATTCAAAAGGTTCAACTGGTTTTACTTTCCTATTTAAAGTAGTTTTTCAAAACTTTTCTAGAAAATGTGTTTCACAGACAACAATATCTAGTTTATTTGGGAAAATACTTCTTTGAATTTAATTTACTCAACGATTTCTTTCTTCTTCATTGGTGGGAAGCCTGAAAACTTGTACTATATTTTTAGCGTCATAGTTTCCTTTTCATCCAGGAACACAACACTTTTTAACCATTTGTTGTAAAAGTCAATTACTCACAAATCGAACTTTTAAAAAACTGAATTAAATTATATCTTCCCAAAAGATTATCCGTCCTCAGTCAAAAATACGGAATCGCGACGGGAAGGCCTGTAGTAAGTATTGCCATGGTGTAAATACATCCACTGAATACGTAGACAAATAGGTGAAAGTTTGAAATAACATGCAAGGAGTGATGCTACATTAATTCAGAAATTTTTGCTGGGGCAAAACTATTGTCCGACCTCTACAGTTTGTGTGTGCGTATATATATATATATATATATATATATATATATATATATATATATATATATATATATATATATATATATATATATATATATATATATATATATATATATATATATATATATATATATATATATATATATATGTATATATATATATATCAAATAAAACTAAAATATTTATTCTAAAGATAATACAATAGTCTTTTTTTCAAACATTAAATAAAACATGAGAAAAAAGAAGATTTTTTTTTTTTGAAAATTATTTAATGGAACCTAAAAATAAAAGGACTAAATATTGTCTCAAATTTTTTAAATTTTTTTTTTTGTAAAAAAGTTACGAACCACAAAGAAATTTTGTGTTAAATGTGGTGAAAGCGACTTTTTTATATTGATTTTTACTTTTTATTTAAATATTTTATTAATAACCTAATTCATTACCAAAGAGCCAAAAGTATTTTAAAAAAAGTATTTAATTTTAAACAAAAAAAATTCTTTTTTTTTTAAACAATGAGGTGAAAAGCTATTACCTATAAAGATCGTGTAAAAGTAGCACATTTTCACCAGAAAGGTAAAATCGCTTTTGAAATTGGAAAAATAATAAAACGATCACATAGTTTGGAGCTAACAGTCATCAAAAGATTCAGAGAGACGAAACCTTACGTTGATCGTCATCGTTCTGGAAGACCACGTTTGACGACACCCAATGATGATCGCCTTTTAATCAGGTTGGCAAAGAAAAATCGATCTATGCCGTCGCATGAGTTAAGAAGGGAATGGAAGCATTCAAATGGACGTTAAACATTGGCATCACTTGTGCGTAGGAAACTAATAGCTAACAATATGCTACGGAAAAAAGCTGTTCTAAAACCGCGACTTACCAAACAACATATAAAAAAGCGAAAAGAACTTTGCCAAAGTGTCAAAGAATGGTCTAAAGAAAAATGGAGAACAGTAATGTTCAGTGATGAGATGAATTTCGAGCTTGATAAAAAAAAAACGAATCATGATTTGCAGGAAGCCTATAGAAAAAAATAATCCCAATTGTATCGTTCAACGAAGATGTTTTATTTTGTAATGATTTTTTTGCCACTTTGATAGGAAAAATGTCCACTCGCTCAAGAATATCATTTGACTCTAAAAGTCTTGGTTTAAGAATTACAGTATTTTTATGTGGGTATGAAAGATTTAGAACTTTTCACTTAGATTTTTTTACGTGCGTGTAATATCAGTGGCCTAGATACCGTAAGGCCATTATAAGCAAAACTTACAGCCCCTCAAGCAACTGAACTATGAGCCACCAGGTTTAGGAGCCCTAAGATATATTAAAAGATTTTTTTTTTTTTCTTAATGTTATTGTTCCAAAGAAGTAGCAATTGGGCAACTTGGCCACGTATGTGTACTGTCCGAAAATACTTTGCAACCCCACTGTGTAATATACGTATGACCCGAGCTGTAGCTAAGCAATGTTTTATACGTAGATTAAGAAATAATCTTAATCTACGCATCCAGTGATTGGAGGCTGGGGGAAAAAAGTACCCCAAAACATTTACCATCCCTATCCCAAATGCTATAGTAAC